AAATAAATAAATAGGCTGAGGGTCCCTTCCTTTGTAAAGTAAACCCACAGAGGCTGGGGCCCTTCATTGGAAGCCTTCCAATGAGACAGAGCAATGGCTAGCTGATTAAGAGAGAGACAGCTGTTCTATAGGAAATGTAAAGGAAGGAGAGTAGCTGTGAGGAAGGAGTAGCATATTTGCTGAGTCCCAGCTGACAGTGGCATTTCACTTCTACTAACTGAGGCCAGAGAGAAGCAGCAGGCTGTTCTAGGCAAGACTGATTTTCTAGAGTGTGAGAGAGGCATTCAGTAGGGCTTTAAATGTGCCCAGTGGATGAAAGAAAATATCCAGCAAGACCAGTAGATGAAGGTTATAGAGAGGAAAGCTATCTTCTGAGGCACCCTATGGTACAAATACTAGCATGCAGCAGTATTTGCTTCACAAAAACAACAAGAAAAAATGGGAGAAAATGAATATTTGGCACGGGAGACTGATCCTAGTGCTTGAATTGTCATGATCTCTCCACTCATAGCCCATAAATATCCTTCGATAATTACACCCATGCAATCCTGATTAGAGGTGTGCTCTTTGAGGTTTTTGCAAATCACTTTGTCTTCCTGGAGGAGAAATTAGTACCTGAGACTGAGACGTGATAAACATTACGGTATTTTATATGTGGGTCAGATTTACATATGCAATTTAATGCAACTGATGACAGAATAACAACCTGCAATCCTATGCAAATATACTCAAAACTAAATCCCACTAAAGTTAAAAGTACTGCTATCTCAGGTGAATATATGTAGGATTCCACCCCAGTTGTAGCTGTCTAATTGTATTGGAAGTTCATATTGACAATGCCTCCTTACCTTGTCTTGTGTGCTGTCTAATTAGTTCATTCTCCCTCAGACGCAGCATGTGTTCCCCCAGCTCTGCATTGGCATACCAATATCCTTATGAATGCTAGTTTCATTATCCTATTATTGTATTAACTGTTCTGAGCTCAAGAAGAGCAAGACACCAGTTATTAAATAAAATTACATACAAATACCTTTCCTTTCTGCAAAGAACATATTCCCCCTCCTTTAAAAAAGACAACTTGTGGATATAATTTTGAACAGGGCTTTCAGCCCTCCTGCTGGTCCTCTGTTCAGCATCAAAAACCACCCCTGGCTGTTTGCAGTGAAAATCATTATCATAAGGAAACAGCATGTAACATGTAGTTTGTCTCCATGAGCTAAATTTGGAGAGCAGGCAATGAATTGTGATGTGAATTTATGACATGAAAGGCTGTTTCACAGCACCCAAGTCTTCTGGAATCGTCAGCCCCTGATGCCCTTACAGAGTAACAGCTAGTCATACAATTATTAAAACACAAGGCAAAGAGTCATGAGGCACCTATGAGAGGAACATACTCTATTAGGCATGAATTGTTGTGGACTGCATACTATACAAAACATTTAAAATGAATTGTTGTGGACTGCCATCAGATGCTGGACAGATCAGTGATACTGGAACTGCTGGATAGCTCAGTGGTTTAAGTATCGGCCAGAGGCTGGGATTTCAGTTCCCCACTGTGCCTTCTTTACAAGGGCTGGACTCACTGATCCATAGAGTCCCTTCCAACTGTGCATCTCTGAAATGGCAATGATGATGATCTGATGAAATGGGCTGGAGGCCACAAAAACTACGTTCAAGTAAAACTTGTTGGTCTTCAAACTGCTTCAAGTCTCTGCAATTTTTGCTTCATCAGAGGATGACAGATAACCCCTTTTGAAAAACCGGGCACACAAACAATCCACATCCTTCTTCAGGAGCACTCATCTCATGAAGGCCAGAGGATGTGTCTTTTCTCTGATTGGTAAGTATTCTCCTGTTATGGAGAACTTTCTCCACAAATGTATATGAACTGGAAGAGAATTCTGAGGTGTATTTTTCTGACACCTTTAAAAAAAAAACCCTGGAAACTCAGCCCTCTTCATACCCTCATGAGGCATTCCTCTCACACTTCAGCACAATTCTAACAATTGTGAGTAAAGATGGTGGTTCTCTCCCTAGCGGTTTAGTTCTAATCCCCGCTGACCCTATGGTGGAGGCAACCATAATCTCACAGTATTGGCTAAAAGCTTTTCTTATTAACTTCTTTCCAGGCTGCTTCTGCCAGATGTTATTGAGTAACACACTCAAAGGGCAGGAAATAGTGAAATGAATATAGGCAGGAAATTTTGTATGAACTTGCACAGCAACAAGAACATTTTGGACAAAAAAAAAAGAGTAGGGAAGTGTGTTTGCTTTTGGTAGATGTTCTAGAGAAGCATTTGGTCTTCTAGAAATTGAGGGTGCAGTCATGCAGGCATTTGTCCAGATGTTATGTCTACTGTGGAGAAAGGCTGATTTGCTTCCCCCCCCCCTTTTTAAATGAGACAACATAATTGCTAGAACAAACCAGCCTGTTTCAAGAGCATTCCTGTCCACACTTTTTTGGGTCCCTATCAGAGACTACTGTTGTTGTTTTCTGGTGAAGGTAGAATTGCTATACAGTATATTGTTTCCTGTAAATGCAATCATTGATTGAACCAGTAACTCAGATCTCTACTGGATGCCACCTTGTGTCCTATGGGCTTGTGGTTTAGGCCTCAACTTGACAGTGCAAAAATATGAAGAGCAAGGTTGATGTTGTTTTATGTGTGTGGCCAGTGGAATTGGGATAACTGAATAGTCTGTTTTAATCCTCCCAGTTTTTTTCAAGAGCTACTATATATACAGATTTGTGCTTGTGGGCTTCTTTCTTCCTTCTCTGAGGATGATTCCTGTTTCTTTCTGTTCCTCCATATTAGCTGGAGATGTATGCTTATCCATATGGAAGCTATAGGTGCTTTAGTAAGTAAGATGTGCTAGAAACCTTTATCTTTCTGCCCTATCCATAAATGCATTTCCTTGAATACAGTAAGAGGGAAGTTGGTCTTTCTCCGTTTTGTTGATCCTGCCAAACACTGACCCTCTGCCAGTTTCTAGAATGATTATTTCTCCTGAGTAGTCACAAGCTTTGCACTAGTTGCCAGTAAATACCAGATAATCTTGTGAGGTGTTTGTTTCCTAACATCAATCCTGCAATGGCTGGATTCCAAGGTCTATTACAAGCACAAGGGAAATTTTCAACAAAGAAGAATGATCAAAATATATTTATTATTTGTGCCTAATAGCATGTGGCCAAATAACTGGATGCCAGACAATCAATAAGGAAAAATAAAAACAAAAAGTGCTGTCAACGGACTAACATATACAAACGCAAATGATTGGGAATGGTTGGAAATGGCAGTAGGAAAAAAAGGGGGGGAACATTAGCAATGAAAAGAAAAGGAAAATTTGAAACACAATATTGATCAGAACAACAACACATAATTTTTTAATTTTATGCTGTTGTTCTATAATAATGAAAAGATTAAATCAATAGCAATGGAGCTGCATGTGTTGAACCAGTCATAAATTATTCAGCATGTATCAATACTCATTCTGATTAGTACTCATGGTTTTGCTCAGTCCTTCCAAGCAAAAGCGTCTTAAGACTCTGAAAGGCTCAAAGGAGGGGGGAATGTTCTTCTCAGTTTATTGCAGAGTTTCTTGGTACTGATATGGGCCCATTTATGTCCATGGCCTGGAACAATAGCTAATATCCAGTTACATTTGCTGGTCTAATGCAATCAGTGTAACTCTGTCTAGCAATTTGCCTCAAGACAAGAAGTCAATGTAGACATTTGTGTTGCCTCAGATTGTGTAAGAGCAAATGCCAGTGCTGATTTCTTGACTCATGATAATTTATCCCAATTCTGGTACACTGGTGTAAAAATCCAGTAGGATTTAGCAGTTATATTTATAGTATCAGCTCTATTTGTATGTATCTTTCCTCCCATGAGCTCAAGGATGCAACCATGACTCTCCTCTATAATTTGTCCTCACAGCCTTATAAGCTTAGTGAGGCTGATTGAACGCGAGTGCTGCACAGTCATCCAGTGGCTGAAATTCTGTTGCTGCATTACACAAAGGAAATAACTTTTGGAGGTAAACTATTTAAGTAAAGAAATCTCCTTAGACGTTATCTGTTGCACACTGAGTCATGTGACTCTGCGCAACAAATGTCTGCAGAGATTTTTTAAAAAACTTGAGGCAATTTGCCCCCCAGAGTTAAGCCTTTTTGCATATCAGCACAAATGGATTTCAGCCAGTGAATTTGGTAGCTGCATGGAGATTTGTACCCCAGCTTCTTGAGGCCTAGTCCAACTACATCATGCTGACTAAACAATGAAAATAGCCTCCTCCTCCAGTATTTGAAAAATAACTTTTCTAGTTCTTGTCTCTCCCCATAGTATAGAGTACCCTCAACCTGTATCTCAGAAATGGTTTATCCTTCTTTTCTTCTAGGGGCATTCTGGGATTGTACAGCTTGTCCGAGGCCACACAAGCTAACTCTTCTCTTGAGAGGCACCGTGGGGAATTGAACTCCCAACCTTTGGCTCTGCAGTGAGATACCTCAACCACTGAACTATCCAGCCAGCTCTCAGCATCATAATTTGTTGAAAAACAACATGGGGCATTTTTTTGTTCCAATACATTACATTGGGTAGAACAAAATACTGCCCCTGTAGTAAATGCAATGGATTTATTAGGACAATTTTTGTCCCAGGTTTTCCCCCTCTTTCTGTTAAAAAAAATACTTGGCAAGTGCTGAGACTGGTGATATTATTTATAACTCTTCAGGAGATGATACAATTCCCAACATTATTACTAGAGTTCTGTATGGATTCTGGAACAAAACATGTCCTGGTCTGTTGCACAAGGATTCAGGACACTTAAATCGTGTAATGGTAGGCCTGGACTCAGCATGCTTTCTTCATTTATAGAAGCATTGCCTTTCCTTATTTTATCTTCCCTACCACCTTGCTCTGGTTTTACTTTCTGTGACTTCATCCTGTCTATGCCTCCTGTTTAAACACTGTAATGTGATGCAGAACTCTTGAAAATCAGAAGCCATTTTGCTTCTGCTGAATCCTTTTGAATACAGGCAGGGTTGCCATACTGTGCAGTTGTCCAGGGGTTCACCTGGATTACAGGTGTGCTACCCAGTGCCTCTTTGTACCAGACACTGTCTGGGTAAATTGTTTTGCAAGAAATGAGCCTTTCCATTTAATTAGCCAGTGAGTGACGCCATGTCAATTTGAGAGGGTCTCTTAGATGTGTAAATTAAACACTCATCCCCCTCATGTCTAAATTTTGCAGTTGTGTTAAAGTCTCGTGCTTCCTGTTTGCAAAATAGAATGTCTTTAATTTATACATCTGTGCATAAATGTTGGCACCTATCGATGTACATAGAAAGCAATGATGCCACAAGAATGGATGCAAGTTGAGGGTTTGTGGGAATTGTGCCCGGGGAAAAAACTATAGTGGGGTGTCATCAATAAAAACTGATGGCAGAAAAGAAGAAACACCTATCACATATTACTGGACGTCCATGTGCATGGCAAAATGTCACTATCTCTTTATATGTACCAAAAATGTGTGTGGTTGCTTTACATGGTCCTCTCCTGCTTTTTTCCTAAAAACAATAGAGTAAGGTAGTATTTGGCTGAGAGTAACCAACTGGTCAAAGAGGTTCAAGTAAGGTTTGTAACTAAGTAGGGATTTGAACTTGTCTCTTTTTGTCCTGCACTCTAAGCATTAAACTATACTGACTCCTTCAGGTCGGCAATACCTATATAAATGCTAAACTGAAAATACTAACAGAAAAGCAACGGAATAATTAATGTACGTAAATTGTATATTATCCAAATTTGCATGTTATGAAAATATAGCTGACTAATTTGCATAATATGCAGATTGGGCTATCTGAAGAACTGCTGGATAGCTCAGTGAATTGCCGCCCAGAGTAGAAAACAAACAAACAAACAAACAAATAAATAATGAATTTGAAGAATTGGAATATGGCAACCTGAAATACAGGGAAGAATATTAGTAAAAACTATGACTAAACGACTAAACGATGACGACAACAAGAGTATAGTTGACCCTGCTTTCATGTAAGTACCCCATGCAAGGAGATTTGCTGGCTGCTATGGTGGGTAGAATTTTGGAAGGGAGAGATTAACCTTAACTGATTCACTCTCTCTCTCTCTCTCTCTCTCTCTCTCTCTCTCTCTCTCTCTCACACACACACACACACACACACACACACACACAGACAGACAGAGACAGACAGAGAGAGAGATGCAGGCATATAGCCATCTCTCTGTGCAGTGAAAATGTCTGACTTTCTCTAATGTAATCCTATCATTCTAATCTCCCTTTTCTTCATCCCCCTGACCTGCTCAACACATTGGCCTTAATCTGCTTAGTTTTATATATATCCTATGGAAGAAGATGATTGGTTGGGCTGTATTGTGGAGAACTACTGGTACAGCATCATGATGCCTTGTTGAAACATAGGTATACTATTTGGTCATTTAATTCAAGCAGCACATATTTAACAGCCTGATATATCCTCCTACCAACTCTCCTCAGGCTGAAGAAGCTGCTTAGATGAGTAGTGGAATGTTTCAACCTAACCAGAAAGAGGTCCAGTTGCCATGACTCACCTTCCAGATAACCTCACCTGGATGACTGAGAATCTTCACAGATATATTTAACAGCCTTTACTGTTCCCCCAGGGCCTTCTCTTCCATCATCCAATTGGTTGGAATTATGCCTGCAGAAAGGTCGTGTTCCTCTTTCTTTGGTAACTAGTTTTTATTCATTTTCCTAGCCTCTTTCCTAGCAGCAAAGACAAACAAATAAAAGTTAGCAAAGACTTTCAAGTATGCTGTATATGGCATGCTCTTGCTTTCCAATCAGTGGAAAAGTATAAGTTAGGTGTCACAGAGGAAGGTGTTCGGGGTTTTTGTTTTGTTTTGTTTGTAGGAGAAGCGATGGAAAATTATTACAATAATCTCTTTACTTACAAAATAATGAGCACAAAATGTACAGAGTTTGTTATATTACTGGGGTAGGAGCAACCAAGCATCCGGCATTCCATCTCAGCTAAAATTGGCAACCTCAAAGCCTTGCATGGTTTCCAGAAAGCTCTTTTAATCATTTTTTTCAGACCAGGTTTGATTTCTGACACCTCTTGATAGGAATGGGAAAGTTCTTAAATCTGTGAGAGTTTCCTTCTATTAGCATAAAAAAACACTGAGTCAGGTGAACCAAGATTCTGACTGAGGGCCAAATCACAGATTGAGAGAAATACCAGCTCTTACAAGTTCTGCCCTCAGTAGACCTGAGACATGCAAATGAAGCCCAGGTTTATCTGCCAGTTACAAATCACCAATCACCATTTAAAAGCAAATACATTTGCAACATGAAGTTTGAGGCAAGCCTGTGTTAGAGTAAGCTGACTTCTTTTACCATTTAAGGGAGCTGTGTTTCTAATTGTGGGTTAACTGCGCCATCCATTTCTACTCTGCTTCTTATTGTCCAGTTGGCTCGGGGGAACCAAACATTTCTTTGCAAAAAGTCTGGGGGAAGGAACCCCATAACAGCTCAGTGAAGACTGAGGACTTTCAGTGGGAACAGAATGTTTGCTGCCCATAGTGAGGGAAAATGGAAGAATTGTGTGGGAAAGAGAACGGAATGAAAAGTCTGAACAAAATCCTAAACAAAAGTACTGTACAAAGCAACATTTCGTTGCAGTTTGTCCCATCTGTTGTTTCTGAATAAACAGGTGGTGTTTCATGGTCACTGCTAAGAGCTATTGAGAAGCCTCTCCTGCATCAATATTTGTTTAATCCTTTAAAAAAAATCTAAGCTATAAACCATCACTTTCACTAGCAATTAATTGCAAATGTTATGTATTCATTCAGTTCAACGGGGCTTTTCTTTGCTCATTCGCAAGTCTACTACCAATCATTATATTTTCATATAATGATGCTGAGTTCTAACCTTCCTTCCTTCTTTTTTATATCAGAGCAGTGCACAATTTAAAATTATGGATGTATATGAAATACAGGTACATTTAAAAATAATTAAAATATTAAAATTATTACACTATTTTTGACCAGAAACAGGTTACTTCAATAGGGTTATCTCAGCCATTTGCTAAGTCTTTTTTATGCATAATGGAGCATAAATAGCATGCAGCTAAGTGTTGCCTTGATTGAATTCCTCTGCAGTCACAGAACATTTGTTCTCTATCCAAGTTTCCTCTTTTTACTTTTTACTTCTTTGATTGCTCTACTTTGCTTCAAAGTCTATAACGTGACTTCCAGAAGGGTGTCTTGTCCTGATGGGAGACACTCTTCAACATTCATCCATTCAGCAAGGTATGCTGTTGAAAGGAAAAGAGGATCTTTCTACTGACTGAATAAGGAAAGCAAAAAAGAGGAAGGATGAACTATATTAGGGTAAAAGCTGTTATATAAAGTTATTCCTATTAAAAATGTGAATATAAGCAAAGAAGCCTTTATCAAAATATACTGGACATACAGAATCAAATATTTTGATATTTTGTGGCACCTTAACAATTGTTGTTGTTATGTCCTGTCAAGTCACTTCCAAGTTATGGCAACCCTATGAATGAATTATATCTAAAATGTCCTGTCCTCAACAGCCTTGTTCTGCTCTTATGAACTTTAACAATTAGCCAATATTATTTATTTGGTATTAGTTTCCATGGAGAACAGGCTCTGAAAGTTTGTGCCAAATAAATCTTGTTAGTCTTTAAGGTGCAATAAACTCTTTGTTGGTCTTGCTGCAACAGACTACGAGCTAAACAGGCAGTCCTATTTTTTTTTAAATGCTGCATTTTCTAAAGTCAGCCAGCAAGGGAGTCAAAAGGGGGGAGGGGGCATCTCTGCGTAAGGCCACATCCAAACTTTCTCCAATCCAGGGAGAAAACTGGATGCTACTGCAAAGTTGAGGATCGTCCTAAGTAACTTCCAACATCCTTAGGCAGGGTGGACTCTGGATTCAGCACATCCAATCATGTATCATCTCAGCTGGCCTTGAACAGTCGTGGCAGATAGGATAGGGCTATAACATGGCTGCCCTTCAAATATATTTAGAGTAGGATCCAATGTAATAGGGTTGTGGAACCAAGGACCTGCTTCTTTAAGGTAAAGTTTCCCCTTGACATCTAGTCTAGTCTAGGGGGCGGTGCTCATCACCATCTCCAAGCTGTAGAGCCAGTGTTTGTCCGTAGACAGTTTCCGTGGTCAAGTGCCCAGCGCGACTAGACATGGAACACCATTACCTTCCCACTGAGGTGGTACCTATTTACCTACTCGCATTTACATGCTTTTGAATTGCTAGATTGGCAGAGCTGGGGCAAGCAACGGGAGCTCCCTCTGTCGTGTGGATTTGATCTTATGACTTCTGGTCTTCTGACCTTGCAGCACAGAAGCTTCTGCGGTTGAACCTGCAGCGCCAC